CCCCGCCATTGCTATGATCAGAGTAGTGACTCCCAGAGCGAGTTGCGATGAACAAGAGTTTCCATCCATTGTCCGAGTGTTGCTATGGACTGTCGCCCATCCAAGGCTCAATAACCGCGAGGCCGTGACGATTCTGATGGATCACGGCAGTGGCCTCCACGTGGAGCCTCGCCTATTCAGAGAAGCTGGAGTTTAGGGGGTGCCGAGGTTGAGAGGCTCAGGCGGTAGGAGTTTCAGGTTACTGCAGGGGTTCGGGTGTTCAGGCTTCTGGGAGTCTCGGGCTTTTTTTCGCTCCGGGTCTAGGAGGCTTTGAGGCCGAGTTCGTCATGTCTTCGAGGATCATACATTACTTGGTTCATGTCTTGATGCCCAAAGCCCAACTCTCTCCGGCGAAGCTTGCGATGGTGCATCATTTTGGGGTCTTGTCGTGTCTGGAGACTTCTGACTGCAACACCCGAGGCAGCCCCTTTTCTCAAAGCACAGAGATGTAGAGAGGTCTGAATACTCAGCTCTCGCCCCATAGTCCCTAGGACCTTACTCTGCGATCGCGGCGCACTTCGGAAGTGTGTAAAAAAGCATCCATGTTCAGCACGCTTTGGTCCCCGTTTAGCTCTTCTGTGCATCGCAGCCAAGGGGGGGCTTAAGGTTGAGGCCAGCGTTTTTAGGGTGTGTTGTTGGATGTTCTTGGGTTGTTACAGGGCTTTTCTTGGGTGCGGTATTATGGCTGAGGAGCTTTTTCTTGGGTCTTTTGGGGTTTACAGGATCGAGCAGCACTCTGCGCAGGAGCGAGCCGAAAGGAAGCGCAGCAACAGCGTAGAGGCAAGAGGGGTTCTGAGGATTTGGAGAAGGGGGGTCTTTGGGTGTTATAAGGCCGTTACAGGGTTCTCAGGAACAAGGCTTTATTAGAGGTTTGGGGGTTTGGGGACTCTTGCAGGCCGGCGTTGAAGCTAATAGCTCCAAAATCTGGAAAGCCTGGCGTTCAATGCCCTCCCCACAAAGCAGGGGTAAAACGGCAACTTCAAAAAAGGCACCTCGACCGAAATCCCTGTGATTTCTCGGCACCGCCCAGCTTTCGGGCATGCTCTTGAACAGCTTTCGGGCTTATGTCTATGACTGAAACCAAAACCCTAAACCCGAAACCCTAAACCCTTGGCCCCTGAGACCACCGTGTCGAGCACCAACAATCACAACTTCGACAAGTTGGGCGCAAAGGCCCGGCGGAACATGGGATTTCGACCAAGGGGGGGGGGGGGGGGGGGGGNNGCTTAGCGCTTCGGGCTTAGAGGGTTAAAATTTAAGGCTTGGTTCCAAGCTGGATTTTTTGCGCTTTAAGGCCTAGGGCTTAAGGGTGGGCTTCGGGTTTCGGGTTTAGGGTTTTGAGTGTGGGGATTATTGGCAAAGGGTCCGTGGTTCAGCGATTTTTTGGGGAACAGTCAGGTTTCGGTGCAGAGCCTCCGGGCTGGTTTGCATGCACTGCGCTGTAGGCTCCCTCAACACTGAAGCAGCCCTATATCCATGCACCTAAACCCCGAGTTAATCCCGATATACCGATATCCTTAACCCATATCCCAACTGCTCTCGACAATCACATGACAGCTTGTGTTGTTGTGTTTTGCATTTTGTTCTAGGCCCCTTACATGCTTTTGTGTGGCTCAACTTTGATGTTAGAACTTGTAGGGTGCACATAGCTTCTGTTTGAGGTCTGGTTGGATAGTCAGCCTTACTCACACTCTACGCCCCTAAGTGTTAATCCCCTAACTCCAAGCCCTTCAGATAAATCATACTTCTAGTACTCATACTTTTTGATCCGACCAATACTAATGCCTATACTTATGCTAAGAAAGATCAAAGAAATATTAAGATGAAGCCCGGGCAAGGTGTCAAAATGGCGAAAGATAGCAAGACTTTGCAGGTCACGAAGCTGGAGGAAGAGTTTGGCAAGGTCCATGCCAACATCTCGCAGATCACCGAGTTGCTTTGCCAAGAAAGTGCCCTTTCAAAGTGGTAGAGTTGAAGAGGTGTGGAGTCCAAGAGTGGACCCGCATTTGAACCCAGACTGACTCCCGATCTTGCGCCAGAGTACATCCCTCGGCCTCAGGGCCCCTATGATTATAATTCCGAGTCGAGTATATCATTAGCGGAAAATCCTGACGGCGCCCCCATGACTCTGCTGGATGTGTTTTGACCCGAATTACGAGACTCGGTTGATGTAGTCGAATCCCCGGGGCCAGATCAGTTCAGTCGGCTCCAAGCCTAAGCAACCTTCTTGAGAGGCTGTGTTTCTTGCAGTAGAGGCATGAGAGAGTCCCGGACCATGATTGCAGACTCCCGATGAAACCCTTCTGTGGAGTATAGTCGTGACCCTACCATTAAGGCCTTCAAAGAAAGGTTGCGCATGAGTCCAAAGGCCTGTCTAACCCTAAATGCCCCTAAATTCCCACCCTACCCAACCTCCTGTATAGGACTGGGTAAGCTCAAGGCGGGTTTGTAAAAGAACCCCTGGGTGTGTTGGGGCGGCGTCCCACGCAGATATTGCAGCTATTGCAACGCGTGGTGCCCCTAATCCCTGAACCTTCGACCCGAGACCTTAAGCGTGAGATCTTGTAATGTAGTATATACTGTATTAGAGTATACTCTATAATGTACTGTAGTATCATATAAAAAACTTTGACTCTCTGAAAATCTAAGTAAGCCTTATTCACCCTGGCCTGTGTCCTTGACTCAGGATCCTTTCCCAGCGTATGGCGCCGCGAAGCAAGGGAATCCCGAGCAGCAAGCAAGAGTGAGAGCCGTCATTCCCACAAGGGGCAAAGCCCGTCAGCCCTCGATTGACAAGGCAGCTACACAACCCTTCAAGAGCTCCGCAAAGCTCAGCCGGCAACAAAAGGCTGAATCGAACCCTCAAGCACAAATAAACTCCAAAATCCTAAGCCGCTTGTTAATGTTCCTCGCCGCCCGGGCCGGGAAGGGTGGACTTCGTGCTCCTCTTGTTCGCATCAAGGTTGTACCTGTTGCAGTTGATCTGAGGGATGTAAGATCTGGGTCCTCAGGTTTAAACTGCTCAGGAGCTAGAGGTGTTGGTTTGGGGTGAAGAAGCATGTTGGCAAGCCAGCTGCTGTTGCCAGCTCAAAAGGCAGTGCCACTTATGCATGTATGTACTCGGCTCACTTATACAGTGTGCATACGTACACTGCAGCGTGTCTGCTCCATCTATATGCCGCTCAACCGAAGGCAACAAAAGGGTTTTGTGCTACACAGCTGAAACATGATGTAACCGAAGCTACATAGAAACATCTAGCTAGATAGATACAGACAGAAAGATGTATATTCACATATGCATATATATACACACATATACGCATATGTGTTATGTCTTTAAGTTCGTATACGAGGAGCCATACCAAGGCCTCCCTTCCACAGCCTTGCAAAGCGCCGAGTGGGAAGTGCACAGGAATCGTCGCAAAGGCTTATTGTTTCTGTTGCTATGTCGCTTATAACTGCTACTTAGACTATGAGTACTACTAGTGCTATTACTATGACTAATTACTATTACTACGAATATTGCTGCTATGACTATTACGATACTTTTGCCTTTGCCATTTCTATTACTACTACACTGCACTCGAAACAACAGGTTCAGAGTCTTCCCACTCGGCCACATGAGCCAACTGCTCGGGCTCCGCCATTGGTGATGTTTCACTGCGTGCTAGTTCTGACCCGCGCCACCTGCAGAATTGTTGCGCAGAGGTCATCGCGCTGTGGCAGCACACCCATGCTCGGCCGATCTTGTTGCACTGGGACTGCTAGTCAGAGATTTGCAAGCGTACTGCTGACAGAGAGCTCATTGCCTCGTGCAATGATCATGGACATGGTTGCCTATCGTCTTGAGGCTCTGCAGTTTCGTCCCCAAGGGACCACTCAAATAGATAGATAGATAGGTCACCTGCAAGCAGCCTCCATGGCCGTGGATCTTAGCACTGAGCCCAAACACCTAAGGGATTACATGTTGGATGTGTTCCCTGGACATCCTTCAGTACAGGACCGTTGTGATGACGAGTAGTTGTAGAATGTTCTAGGTGGAGTCATGCACTTACAGTCCTGCTCCTCCTCACCACGATGACGACACCTGGCCACTTAGTACGAAGACGACGGCTGATATCACATCTTGCTGCTGCTGCTGCTGGTTGTGGCTGTGGTTGTGGTTGTGGTTGTTGTTGCTGCTGTTGCTGCTGCTGCTGCTGCTGCTGCTGTTGCTGCTGTTGCTGCTGTTGCTGCTGTTGCTGCTGCTGCTGCTGCTGCTGCTGTTGCTGCTGTTCT